GTGCTCAAGTGGTGAGGGGGGCACTGGGGGCACTCTCTGCGCCCTGCCTGGGGCATTGGGGGCACAGATTCCCTGCCTGTGCCACTCTGTGCACACACTCCCTGTCTGTGCCACCCTGGGCACACACTCCCTGCCTGGGGCACTCTGGGCACACATTCATTCCCTGCCTGTGGCATTCCATAGGGTCACCCAAGCTGCCCCCTGAGCATCTGCCAGGAATTCCTGGCAGGGAAAAAGCCCAGGAGGCAGCAGGGCTGGCAAGGGATCCTGATCCTCTGTGGCTTCATCTCCTCTGGAGATGGGATTGTCCTGGGGTGGGCTGCAGGGGATCCTGCTCTCCTGGAAATCCTGGCATGGGATCCTGCCCTGCTGGATCTCAGGGCAGCAGGGATCCTGCTCTTCTGGATGAGACAGGATGGGCTGCAGGGATCTCCTGCCCTCATGGATCCCAGGGTTGGGCTGCAGGGATCCTGCTCTGCTGGAAATCCTGGGATGGGATCCTGCTCTCCTGAATCCCAGGGCTGCAGTGATCCCGCCCTGCTGGAAATCCTGGGATGGGCTCTAGGGATCCTGCCCTGATGGATCCTGGGGATGGCTGCAGGGATCCTGCTCTCCTGGATCCTGGGGATGGCTGCAGGGCTCCTGCCCGGCTCCAGGCTCCCTCCCACGTTCCCCTGCTGTTCCCCCAGGTTCCTGTTCGGGGAGCGCCCGTACTGGTGGATGCACGAGTCAGGGATGGCTGAGCGGGAGCAGCTCCCCCTGCGCCAGTTCCCGATCACCTGTGAGACGGGACCAGGTGAGTCCCGGCCCGGGGAGGAGCCCCAGGAGCCCCAAAGGTGTGGGAACGCTGGGCTGGAGGGGGGAAAATCCCCTCCTGAGCACTGGGGAGGGGTTGGGCTGGGCTTTGCCAGCTCTCCCCACAGCCCCCCTGTGCTTCCTCCCGCAGGGAGCCCCTCGGGGCACTGCATGATCCTGGGGGCGGCCCTGTGGCCCGTTGTCACCGCCCTGAGCGAGGAAGTGTCCAGGTGCAGCCGGAGGTGAGTGCGGGACGGGCAGAGGCAGCGTCCGGGGC